CCGGCCAGGGCCCCCCTTCCCAAAACTTCCCTGGGCTTTTTTTTTGGGGGGTTTTTAAAAAAAAAAAAAAAAAAAAAAAAAAAACCCTAATAAATACACTGAAGCTGTAAAGTAATGAATTGCAAAAAAATAAAAAATAAAAATTTAAACTTCAATAGATATTTATACTTTTGCAAATTGGGGTTTAGATTCATTGCTGCCGGATCAATGTGGAAACTTTCTGCCGTTTTATTTTAATTTTTTTTCTTATTCGACAACCTCGGTGCGGCATGGTAACTCCAGAAAGAACTTTGAATACAGTTACAAACAAATAACCAGTAATGATGGCTCAACTGAACGAGGCAGCCAATTAACTGTAATTAACGCAATCAAAGTGCTCACAGAAAATAACGGTAATGATGTGGGAGTTGAGCAGTTCTACGTCAAAGTCTCTGATTGTGCACATGAGATCACGCACAGCCATTTATTTCTGTGCCTGTGGGAGTGTGTATCTGGAAAGGGAAAGCACTTTTCGGGGGGTTCTCCGACAACTTTTTTAATAAATGCCTTTTGGAGAACAGATTAGCAAGTGTGTTTTTACCTCCTTCACCTGCATCCCTCTGCCAGGGTGGCTTGTTTACTTAAATTCAAACAATGGTGCAGTGAGCTTCTTTGTAACCGACTGGAGGTAATGGATAGTCGGAGTGATAGACTCTTATTAGCACGGCTTTTAAATAAACCTGTGAGTGCTGCACTCGACAAAAAGGATCCTTGTCAACAGAAAAAGCCGCCATTTAGCCAATTCGGCTTTATCACCTGCCATTTATGGAGAAACTCTGTGCATAGTTCTTCATAGGAACTCCCTGATGATAGTGGCCTATTTCTGGAGAATATTGTTTCCTGCCAAAAGTGAAAAAAAAAAAAAAAAGTTTTCAGAAACACAACAAAGTAGTGTTCTGTTCCTTAAACCTTTGTTTTTGTTTTAATATGCAGATTATTGAAGGAGTTTAAATGTTTAAAAGCTGGGTCTATCACACAAACCCAATATATTTAAAAATAACAGCAAGAGGACCAAATCAGCCAGAATTACAACTAATCCTTTATTATAGTTACAATT